TAGATCTGGGAAAGCTGACACCAGTACAGCAACATGGTGGTACGGTGCTGAGAAAGGGAGAGGATGGCAGCAGGGGAGCAGCACAGGACCAAATGAGTTCTGAGGTGATGAAACAAAAGGTGATTTAGGTTTCTGTGTGAAGGCAGAATTTTAACTTCAAGGGTTTCTTTCTTTCTTTCTTTCTTTCTTTCTTTCTTTCTTTCTTTCTTTCTTTCTTTCTTTCTTTCTTTCTTTCTTTCTTTCTTTCTTTCTTTCTTTTTTTTCTTTCTTTCTTTCCTTCTTTCCTTCTTTCCTTCTTTCCTTCTTTCCTTCTTTCCTTCTTTCCTTCTTTCTTTCTGTCTTTCTTTTCTTTTACATTCCTTCTAAAACTGGTTCAGCTGAATGGACAAGTATGTGACTTTAATGAAATTCCTGAAGTCATAGTAACAAGTGTGGTTAAAACCAAGCCCGGCTGCCAGAAGCAGAAGTATAGCAGGACATTACAGTACATCCCTTGGTGCTGTCAACCAGAAGGTCCCTGGCACAGAACCACAGGGCAGGGATTCCCTTTCAAGCAGCACATGTAAACCCTCCTTCACATGCAATGCATCTTTACTGGCTCCTTAATTAGAGAAGACTCTACTTCAGTGAGTGTTTTTCCTGTCTTGAGTAAGTGTCTTATGTCAGAGAGAGCAATAAAAGTTTCTGGATGCACTGGACGTTGCAAGGCATTAAAAACAAACATTGAACTACAGTCAAGTTGCAAGAATAAACAGGAACTTGAAAGAAGTTCTTGATCATTACAGGCAGCATGTATGTCCAGTTCTCCCCAGTCCAGCAGAAACCAGACAAGTTGCAGAAATGAGAATCACTGGAGTTATGTGGAAAGAGACCTATGTTTTCTTTCAGCATTCCTTATAGCACTTGATAAAGATCTGTGTCACACTTGGGGACATCCCAAATTTTTGAAAAACAATAAGGGTAGGACAAGAAATTTGCATGAGTAACTCTTCTTTTCTCATTTGTCAGGGCTGTCTTCCAGCCAGGGTTCAATTTTTTTTTACAGTCTGCCAAATCTTTGCAAATGATCTCATGGACATGATCTCCCCTTCTTGGAGTCTTGCAGCTTCCCTCCAGCAAACACAGCAGGGACAGTATTGGGAAAGTGGTGATAGCTCTCTAGTTGCTCCGCTGTGATTTTGGAAACTCAATGTGTAAATTTGTGCTTCGTGCACAGTTGTCTCTTCTGAAAACCGAACAAAGGCAAACCAGGTACTAATTTTAGTCAGCCAGGCAACACAGTAGACAGTTGCCTAGGGCAGCAGACTGTTGAATGCAGCAGAATGCCAAGGCCTTACGAAGACACAGGCTTGCTGCCGCTGCTCTTTCCTCTTAAGAAGGGAGCATTAGACCTTTAATCTGAGGGTTGAGATTCATGTCCCATTTTCAGGCAACATCTCCCTATTTGGCCCAGGTGATCCTCAGTGGTCTGGGTGCAAGCATGGGACCTGCAGTGCTTGCGCACAGTGTGGGTTCACTACTGCTGTTTGAGTGACCCAGGCCGACTGGAAGGGCTGGGATGGGGCCTTTTTCAGTAGAAGAAAGAGCAACCCCTGGTTTTGGAGGTCTCTTCTTCCCCTGATGTAGCAGAAGTGGTGTGAATTGGTGTGAGAGGACTGCTGCAGGGGAGGGATGGTTTGGGCTAAAAGTGGGAGTCACTTGGGTGGTTGGGAGTGAGAAAGGGATGATGGCCAGGAGAGGTGGTCTGCTTGGGGTGAGGTTGGGCTCTCATGGATCTGAGACAGGAGTTAGCCAGGGAACAGAAAGGCAGGTGAGATCAGCTTTCTCCAGGGCCTTCCCAATACCTGTTAGCATAGTGACCCCCCTCATGTCACATGTGTGGAGCCACCCCAAAATCCTGCTCAGTAGCCTCTTTCACCTGAACACCCAAAGTCCTGATGACCCTGCCAGCATCCCAGTTGGTCGTCCAGGATTACCTACTGGCCGCTTCTTACCTCCCTCTTTTACCTGATGCTTCACTAACTCCGTTCATCCCAGCCCACCAGCAGCCCCACTTTGCTCCACCTCTCATCCTCAGAAAATGTCACTGACTTCTCCCACCCAGCTCTGCTTTGGCAAACAAACTCGCCAAAGTCGTTTGAACCATGCCTGCAGTTGGGCTTGAAAAATAACCCAAGTTTTTTATTTACAAAATTGAAAGCTCGCTTTCAGTATTTTGGTGACAAGTAGAAACAGACACAAGGAAGAGGGATAGACGGTGTTCTTCAAACAACCAGCCAAGTGCTTTGCAGCTTTCGGTCTGGAAGTTGCTGGCTGAGGCTAAATCCCTCCAACAATGCCTCACCTGCTATTACTGCTTTATCTGAAGTCATAAACACAGCTAGTGAAGAAATTATTACCAGCACCTTAAAAAGTACTCACTTCCATAACTGACATCTTAACTTTATGGCAGTCGCTTTTGCCAGCAGCAGAGTTTAGGTAGAATTCAGAGTTTCAGACCTTTCCTGATGAAGCATCCCCTTTAGTTGCTGCCTTTGACAGGATATTAGGTTGGCCAGATAAGCGATCTTACCCTATATGGCAATTTTTATGTCTCATGTTTCAAAATAAGATCGTTGCCTTGCTTGTGTTAGTTGGTGGTTGGGTTGCTACTAGCAGTATTCACAACACTTTGCTGTTATTAATCATTGACTGCCTTCAAATATTAATACTCCCAGGCTTTACCAGCTGGAAAGGTTTTTGTTTGCACCAGACCACAGTGCCAGCGGTGGACCACCAGTCCAGCACTGCGTGGTGGTACATCCCCGTTGCCCTGTGGAGTGCTGTGGCTGCGCACGTGTGCTCAAGGAAGCTCACACGAACATGGACATTGACATCACCTGTATTTGTGGAAGTGCCTCATTGGCTGGTGCTGTCTCACATTCCTGGCTGGGAGAGGCACCAAGCCACCGTGGTTTACTCCTTTCTCAGAATCTACGAGTAGGTTTGGTGAGGGCGAAGCTTGGAGATGCACCTCTCCCATCATGTCATCTATTTACATGCCTTGTGTGCATGTGTGAGACAGTGAGGGCCTTTTTTTTTCCCTGCCCTAGTTCTTACTTCTGGCTGTGGTGAGATGGGAAGGTGGGACTCTCTCATCTCTGCCAGTGAGAAGGTTTTCTGTATCTGAGGCTGGCTTGGAAATTCTTGAGGTGACATCACACCGTGTCTGTGCAGACTCATTGTTTGTCATGGAAAAGCCATTCATCCATACACAACTTCCTTCCTCCCCAGACTCCTGGAGATAAACTTTCCATTCTGTCTATTCCCTATAGAAACAGACCCAAAACATGTATGCGTGGCTACACACGCATACACCTCGCTGTCCCTCCGTCACGCTCGGGGCTGTGGGAGGAAAAGGGAGGATATAGAAGATGTGAATAAAGTTCACCCTGTTTTCTTCAGACATGGATCCCGCTGTGCCCAAGCAGTAAAACTCCCCTCCCGCCCAGGTTCTGGGTCACACAAGGCTTTTTTGTCCTGAGGCTAATTCTGGCACTTGCAGCCCCACATCTGCCTGCCAGGTGAGATGGGCAGCCAGCTGCAGGTACAGCACATCTGGATGGGGGAGGAAGTGAAGCGTGCTGCAAACAAACACAGCAAGTCCACCGTGGCGGGTGCAAGGAATTCGATAAAAAATATACTTCAGTGGTCTGAGCTGCCGAGTCTGGTGATTCATGTCTCGGGCGCTGCTCGTGAGGCAGACAGAGTGAAAGGCTGGGTTCTTGCAGGCCTTGGGCCACATACTCTGTGGCCACAACCTGGGGGGAACCGTATGTGCCACCTGCATGAAGGGAACTGCCGCAGGGGCAGGGGCAGGGGGACGCCAGACCCGGTGAGGGGGAGTACATTTGCCCATGACGTACAGGTGGGGACCGTGTGTTGCAGGGTGGGCCAGGACGGTGGGAGGCTGTGTAGAGATGGAGGCGGCAGCAGCAGCGGCGATGGTGTGCTCAGGTGGCTGTTTCCCTGCGGCGTGAGGGATGCAGGGTGTGAGGAGCGTTTGTGCCAAGTACCCCCAGGGTTCCAGGACACCCGCATTTGCTTTCTGCTGGTGTCTGGGAGGGGAAGGGGTTGAGGAGCTGCCAGATTACCCCCTGCCTCTGAGGTTCCCGATGGGTCGAGTGGGGAAGGGAGAGGGGTGTTCGGACCAGAGGAGCCTTCGAAGCTTTTCTGCTGTCCACCTCCCGGGCCCATAAAGCCGTTAGGCTCCGGCGCCAGCCCCGTCTGCGCTCGCCGCCGGCTCCCCCGC